GAGGATGTTGAGCTTCAGTCTATGGCACAGAAAATCTATTCGGTGAAATAATAGCAGAAAATTTCCCATATCTTGGAGAAGTCATAGACATCCAAGTACAAGAGGCATTTAGAACACGAAATAGGAACAGCCATAAAAGAAACTCCTATCACATGATAAATCATATAGAAAAAGGAAAGAAATTTAAAAGTGTGAGTGAAAAACATCAAGTCACTTTTAGAAGCCAATGAGAATCAGAATAACTGCTGATTTCTCTGAAGAAACCGTAAGGCCAGGAAAACATAAAATGTATTTCAAGTCTTGAAGAGCATAATTCCAATCTAAGACATTATATCCAGCTAAGCCATCCTTCAGTTGAAGGAGAAATAAAAACCTTTCAAGATAAGCTTAAATTAAATAAATTCATGGACACTAAGCCAGCATTTCAGAAAGTACCTAAAAGAATTCTACACAGGAGAGGAGAGTACTACTAAAATATAAGAAAGAATAAAACATTAGAGAAAGAAGGGGCTGCGGATTAGCTCAGCAGCACAGCGCCTGCCTGGCAAACGCAAGGTCATGAGTTTGATTCCCAGTACTGAAAAAAACCAAAACAAACAAACAAAAAAAAAAAAGAGAAAGAAGATGACAGGAATTAGGACATACACTTCTATGGTAACACTGAACATAAATGGTCTTTCTTAATCTTCCAATTAGAAGACAACAGACTGGTAGATTAGATTTAAAAAAAAACCAATAACACACAATTCTTTGCTCCCTGCAAGAAACATGCCTCATTAGCAAAGACATACATGAACTGAATGTGAAAGGATGGAAAACAATATTCCATGCACACAGAACCTAAAAGCAAAAAGAAGTAGTTATACTTATATCTGACAAAGCAGAATTAAAGAGAAAATTAGTCAAGTGAGACAAAATGAGTTATTCATACTGGTAAAAGAAACAATCCACCAAAACAATTTAACAGTTTCAAATATATATGCACCAAATCTCAGTGCACCCAATTTCATAAAACAAGCACTACTCAACATAAAGGGACCCACAGGCCCAAAGGCAATAATAGTGGGTGATGTCAATACTTTATTCTCACATGGACCATCCAGACAAAAATGTAAATGAAGAAATGGAGTTCAACCATACTCTAGATCAAAAAGACTTAACAGATGTCTACAGAACATTCTTTCCAACAATTACACAATACATATTCTTCATGGCAGCTCATGGAATATTCTTCAAAATAGATCATATTTTACAGCATCAAGTAGACCTTAACAAAAACAAAAAATAAAACAGCTTCTCAGATCTTACCAGATCATAATGGAATGAAACTAGAAGCCAAGAGCAAGAAAAACTATAGAAAATATACAAACGGATGTTGATTGAATAATTCACTTTGAAATGATCAAGTCAGGGAGGAAATTAAAACTTCCTAGAATGAAATAGAAATGGAAACATACGAGAATTCTGGGACACAGAACATGCAGTTCTAAAAGGGAGATTTATAGCTACATTTAAAAAGCAGAGCAATATCAAATAAATAAACTAACAATGCATTTCAATCCCTTAGAAAAACAAGAATAAACCAAGACCAAACCTAACAGATGGAAAGAAATAATAAATATTGGGTTAACATTTAAAAGATAGAGCCTAAAAGAACAATGCAGAAGATCAGTGGAACAAAGAGCTGGTTCTCTGAAAAGATAAAGAATAAGTCCTTAAACCAAACTACCAAAAGAAAGAGAACAACAAAATCCATATAGTTGGAGATGAAAAAAGGCACTACTGAAACCTGGAGGATTGTGAGGGTCTACACTGAAAACCCATATTCTAACATACTGGGGAACACAGAAGAAATGGATATGTTTCTAAATACATGTGACCTACCGATACTCAACCAAGAGAATATAAAAACCTAAAAAGATCAGTAACAAGCAGTAATATCTAAGCAGAAGGGAAAGTCTCCTAACAAAAAGAAAAGCTCCAGACTAGATGGGCTGCTGAATTTTGTCAGACCTTTAAGGGATTAATAGCAATGTTCTGCAAACACCAGTGGTACCTGGTACTTAAATTAAGTTCCAGTGGTACTTAATTTGTCCCAGGAGTCTGGAAAAGATGGTCATGTTCATGTTCTTCATCCAAAGCAGAGTACACACACAAAAAAATGAAATTTTGCCAAATGTTTTTGTTTGTAAGCCAAATTGTTCACAAACAAAAGCATTCATAACCAAGGTGCCACTGTATTCCACAAAATAGAAAGGAAAGGAACACTGCCAAATTCACTCTATATGGCCAAAATCACCATGATACCAAAGCTCAACAAGGACACAACAACAACAAAAGACTATAGACCAATATATCTGATAAAAATAGATGCAAAAATCTTTAATAAAATACAAAGTGAAAGCAACAACAAATTTAAAAAATTATATGCTATGGTCAAGTTGATTTCATTCCAGAGAAGCATGGATGTTTCAACACACACAAATCAATAAGCATACCACATAAGTAGAGTCAAGGACACAAATCACATGATTATTTCAGTTGACAAAGATAAAACCTTCAAAAAATCCAACACTGCTTCATGATAAAAGCTGAAAAGAAATTAGTTACTGAAGGAGGTGGGTAGAAAAAGCATTCTACACTGCTGGTAGGAATGTAAATTAATATAGCCACCACTGAAATTATGGAGGATACTTCAAAAATTAAAAATAGAGTCATACTACTCTTTGATATACACCCAAATGAATTAGATAGTATATAACAGAGATATATGCATGCCCATGTTTATTGCAGCATAATTCACAACAGCAAAGATAATGGATAGATAATAGATGATAGATAATAGTTATCTATCAAGACATGAATGAAGAAATACACACACACACACACACAATTCATGACAAGAAATTGGCTTGTATAACTGTGTGGGCTGCCTAAGGAAGTCTGAAGATGACAGGAGAAGCAGTCAATAAAGAAGAATCCTGGACAAAGTGGAATCCAAGGGCCAGGGCTAAAGGCTGTTGTCCACAGACTAAATTTCTCTCCCCCAAACATGTGAGTCCTGTTTATAAAACCTTCCTAGTCATTCAGACAAGCCCACCACTGAGATTCTCAACAATAACCAGATTATCAACAACACTTGGACACATCAATAAAGTCAATGCAAGGGTAATTCAGTTTTTGTTGGGAAATGTTTCCATGTCACTCACGTAATTAAAAGAAGTTTTAGCTGGTATAACAGTCTCAGTGTTTCTTCTCAACATATTATATTATTGAGAATTTTCTGTATTCTATTGTTGCTGATGTGAAGTCAGCTTGGTCAACATGTTTTTTCCTTGAAAGGAATTTTTTACAGAGCATCTGTAAAGTACTACGTACCATCCTGAATATATATATGCTAATTCACATCAAACTCTACCACAACCCTGTCGAGTAAGTGTAACAGTTCTATGTTAAAGAAAAATATGTACTCATAACAAACAAATATTAAGTGATAAAGACTAACCCCATTCTGCCTGACTCCTAAAAAATAAATTCCAAAAATGCAACTCAAAATTAAATGCCAAAAATTACTATGCCAAAAAATTTTTTTTACTATACCACATTAACTTCATCCAATGCTAAAGCTCTAGCTATAGAATCTCATCAGTAAAGTAAGAATTTTGATATTCTATACACTCATTCAGTCCTTTACTAGTATAAAATTAGATCTTCACAAGGCATTTTTCGTAACAGAAAGTAGTATTTCCTCCTGAAAGATTACAAATACAAAGAAAGCACTAATTTTAAATTCAACAAGAATGCATTGGATGTCTGGCTTGGGACTGCACTGTGTTTACGTCAGCATTTGTACAGCACTATCACTTGATCCTCCTAACAACCTTGGGAAGTAATTCAGTATAAGCTTAGAGACATCTGGGGACAAGGACCTCCAAGGGCAACAACTCCATCTTTTCTGTTAATCCTGAAATGCATGCTCCTAAAGCTTATACACATGATAACTGAAATGCTTGCTTTAAGGTAAAAGTCTACATATTGGGAGACAGTTATATTGCCAAAATATTTTCTTATATCAGATTATTTTTTTAAACTTCCTAACATAGATAATAAGATAATGATAATATAGAATATAGATAATAAGATTAATTTTCTGCAATGATTATTTCTTCAGCAATCTGAAGGTTAAATTAAATGCTGTTTTTCCCCTTCTAGAAGTCCAAAGAAATTTCTATTAGATGGAAGCTTCTCAAAGGCATTATATGTTTATCCTGGCCTCCAGCAATGTTATGCCATGTTGTAGGTCTTTGTTGCATACTGTCACAAAGTTAACTGTACACCTAGTGTCAGAAAAGCAAGCATTAAGAACTCAGTTCAAATTATATAAACAAAGACAAAGCCATCCCAATTTAAGAGACTTGCTATGATCCTACAGTAGGATGAAAGAACCAGTACACTTAAAATTTCTAAATTCTGATGTCAAGCTTTTGCTTATGTGACATAGCAATTATATTTCCTAAACCAAAACTCTAGACATACAATATAAATATAAATTTTCTCTTATATTTGAATTTGTGACTATGAAAATTCATACAAAGTTTAAAATGTTCATTACATATTCATTTTTTATTCAATGTTTCATAAACTAGATTATACTAGAACTGTTCTAGTTTATTTACCTTATCAATCTACCATACCAAAACAATTCCTTCTAAAGAACTTTAAACTAGTTATGTTGCTTTTATTTCTATGGACATACACCTTTCCTCAGTGAAACTTTGAGCTTAGCAACTTTTTATGAGGAATTTTTAACCGTGAAATTATTACACTGCATTTCTGAAGTGCTATTCCATACTTGCCTATGGAGTTATAAAGGAAAAGAAAATTTCCTAAAATTCAGGAAAAGAGTCTACTCAGGGTTTAGACATAGTTTCAGAGTGATAAAAACATGTAACAATGATAGTATTCTGTTATAGACTGAAAATATGTGGGTTCACTCTTACCTGCTTAAAAAGTTGAAGGTTAACTGCTGATTGCAAGAACTGTTTCATCACACTTGAGCGGTGCTTTACAAAACTCTCCTCACAAAAAGAAATGGGTTCACCCTAGACAGAAATGAAGATTTTCAGGGCATCAATAAACATTCAGTCAGAGAGAACCAGTCCCTTTACAGAGGACAAAGGAGAGTTGTAGAGGAGTGAAGATATAGATTCAATAAATAGATCCTTACATGTAATAGCTGGATTTCAGGATAATAGAAATATTCCTGTTCTGAAAATTCTCCTTCTAACCATTCATCCTTATTAGAAAATATTATTATAGCCATTGGTGAATACTTTTGCCATGTATATTAGTAATGATCATGAATTTTTTTTAAATTAATGGAAAGTTTTTATAATCAAGTCTTCATGAGTAGAAATACAATTCTATTGTATATATTCTAGCATAAATCCCATCTGGCATCTGCTTTTATGTACCCTATGAGCTAAGTAATCATCTCTGTAAGTGTCTTTGATAGTTCTACAGAAGATCCTCCTCCAAATCAACAGACTCAAATGTCTAGTCTTACAGACCCCACTTGTTCTACATACTGCTGTGTGACCGTAGAAAATCATCACTCACTGGCTGATCTTTTCCCCTCAATTTAGTTCATTTTTAGAAATCATATCTGAAATGCTCTCCAGTCACACATTGCTAGTGGCTATTATACTTATAGCACCAATATAATTTCCTTTAGCATAAAAATCTCTAATAATAATAAATAAGACAAGTCTACGACATATATTAGAATTTTAGAAAAAAGAAAAAAAGAACTTGATAAATAGTGCTCTAAATACACAGAAGTGTCATGTATTTTCATCTTTTGGAGCCTCAATTATTATCGAGATTGGGGTATATATTATGAAGCTGATTATAAATAATCCCACTAATGAGATCTTCTACATCAAAACTAAGCTGAATGGCTTAAGAAAAAGACTTCTGCCTCTGATTTTAAGCCAGATTGAGTTTGGAGTTCACATGGTTTGCTACATTGCTAACCATTTCATGGCAAAATCAGTAAGACTTGTTTATAAATTGGTATGCAGCAATATTTCTAAGAGTGTAACTCAGACCTTCTCAAGGGGTCTGCAACATCAAAACTATTTTCATAAAAATGCAAGACATTATTTGTCCTTTTCACTCTCATCTTCTCAGGAGACTTCATGGAAATTATAGGAGCTAAATAATTTGCAATACTGCCACAGCTTAAATGCAGAATTAAATGATCAGAGTAAGAATCCAGTGACTCCTGTAAGATATTAAAGAGATTTCTAAAAATGAAAAACAATGTGATTGCTATAACTAAATTTTAAATTTAGAGGTATAGTCATTTTTCTTTGCAATATGCTTTATGTTGATACATACATATTAGTTTGTATTGCTGTTTTAAAGTGTTTAAATATTTAATTTCTAGCAACAGTAAATAAGGATGGGTTGACCCTACATACACACAAGTTCTTTGATGTCCTAATAACTTAAAATGGTATAAAGACATCCAGAGACCAAAGAGTTTGAGAAAGTTGATATATAAGAATAAGTAGGGGCTAAACACAACTTTTCAGATTTCTAGACGGATGTTACAAATGATATTATTTGGGACTGGAAATACAAAAAGAAACTCCAGTTTAAGAAGAGGTTGAGCAGGGAGCTCTGGCCTTTGGGCTGGACTCTGGCGGCACAGGTGCAGGGAGGAGGGCCGCCTGCGCCCAGGAATCCGTGCCACGGGGAGCTCCAGCCTTTGGGCTGGACCCCAGCCATGCAGGGAACTGGGAGGCAGGCCACTTGCGCCTGGGCAGCCACCTTGTGGGGAGCGCCAGCCTTTGGGCTAGACCACAACCATGCAGGCAGCCGGGAGGTGGGCAGCTGGCATCTGGGAAGCCGCACAGCAACATGCACTGGCGCGTGCCGGCCCTCACACCAGCCACCGCCGCACAGTCAAGAACTATCATGGCACAGAGAAGCAATGACACAATTGGCCCACCACCCCAGGGACGTGCATGAATCATCCCGACAGGGAGAAACCCCTGGGGACACATGCCACACAACGGGTTGTTCTTGCCCCTGCCGTTGAGAACCAGAAAGGTCCAGAGTCAGTGGAGAAGCAGCTGCTGAACCAGGACTTGGAGAACACGAGAATACAGACTATACCAGAAGACTCAGAGGTGTAGTTGACAGGGGTCATGAGAGAGGTTTGGAAGCTAGAAACCAGGAGGACCTTGCACAATACCTGGGGTGACCCCCTGGAAGCCATTCTTCCCCTGACAGTACAGGCTGCAGTGCAGGAGGAGCATGTGGAGCTCCGGAGACATCTGCACCAAGATTCCTGCTGCCTATGCTCATGGCTGGGGAGAGGACACTAAGTGGTTGTGGGGTCCCAATGCGCTGGGAGGCTGAAGAGAAAAAGCTATAAAAAATGGCTTTCACCCCAGATGGCTCACTTGAGATGTTAGTAAGAATTGTCTCCTCAGTATTCTATAGTCGTGATGAGGAGAAGGCCAAGGAGAGAAAACAAAGAGACCAAGAAAAAGCTTTTGCTGAGACACTAGGAGAAACAGACTGTAAGTCTGATTCTCAGGGCCCCAAGAAGAACTCAATGACTACATTCATCTGCTACCACTGTTAAAAGCCAGGCCACCTCAAGAGCAACTGCCCTAAGAAGTCCCCTGGGCCATGCCCTGAATGTAAAGGTGACCACTGGAGATCGGTCTGCCCTCTGAAGTGGAGGCCCCAGAGCTCAGACCCATCCTACCAGTTAGTCTAACAGGAATGAGGGGGTCTGGGGCATACTCTGCCTTCTCCCTCTGGCCAGACTGTCATCTCCATGGAGGAGCCCTGGGTAATCACGACTATAGAGGAAAAACAAAATAGCCTGTTGCTAGACACAGGTGCAAGTCTCTCGGTCCTTCTTTTCAATCCTGGCATTCCTTTCAGCCATCACACCTCAGTGAAAGGAGTTACTGGTGAAGAGGTAATACGCTATTTTTCACAACCCTTAGGCTGCAACTACTTGTTAGATCTTTCTTGTGTATCTCTGTCTTCCTGAGAAACCACTTTGAAGATACCACCATATATTACAGCAGCCATTGATATTTCCCTACTAATCTGTCCATAACTCTGTAATGTTTGTGTTGTTCCTATGCTATTTCATAAATGGATGTATGTTTATTACTATGTGTTTCCTACAACAAGAATTGAGAATAGTCAATGAATATTCAATTGGTCACTCATGTATAGCTCTTTATTTTCTTTAGAAACCACTTTGAAGATACCAAAGTATAGTACAACCACCATTGATAATAACCTACCACTTCTGTCTGTAGCTCGCTATTATTTGTCTATTTGTTTTCCTGAGAAACTATCTTGTAGATAACAGTATGTAAAACAACAACCACTGATAATTTCCTACCATTTTGTTGGTAATTCAGTAAGCCCCTCTACTACTATGTTATCCTTCTTCTACTCTTTAAAATTAAAAAAAAGTGTAAAAATAAAAAAGAAGAGGTTGATGAAATTTATTTTCACCTGTATTTTAAGTTCTATTCTATGCTAAACTTGAGACAGAAGATTTTGTTCAATTGATTTGTTGATGGATTATTCTCAGTAAAGGGTATTAAGAGAAATGAAAAAGAAGAAGTAAGTAAAACAAGAATATGATCCCACCTACAGCTCAGTTTTAATTTAATTCCACAGAAAGCATTAACTGTTCTATAGAGCTGATCCCACATTGAGGAAATAGGCCAGCTTTTTACAACCCTTAACATAGAACATGGTAGTCCCAGAGGACAGAGAATTGAGGAGGAACACAGAGTCTTCCTGATGTGGCAATTCTCATTTAGCAAAGAGCAATTTTTCACTGACAGGATCACAGATAGGATGGGAGTCTATGCAGAGCACCAACAGTATCCATTACAGCTCGGTAAAGCAAAGTGCTTGAAGACAGAACAGAGACTGCAGCACAAGCTAGGAAAGTAGTTAGGAAACACAAATTAGGAAAATCTGTCATGTGGCCTAAGAATTACCTGCACAGAGTTGACTGTGTAAATTAATCCACATGCAACCATGTGATTTTTGATAGAGCCCAAAAACATATAGAGAAGATAAATAGCCTTTTGACTGAATGGTGCAGGGAAACTGGTTATCCACATGCCTAAGATTGAATCTAGATCCACAACTTCACTATGCACTAAAGTAAAATCAATATAGGTGAAAAAACTTAATGATACATACCTCATGCATCTAGAGAAAACATTCCTAAAATTTATCTGGAACCAGAAAAGACCTAGAATAGCAAAAGCAATTCTGGGCAACAAAGGCAAGTCAGGCATCATTAAAATCCCAGACCTGCAATTATACCACAAACCTACTATGATAAAATCAGCATGGTATTGGCAAAAAAAACAGGCCTGAGGATCAGTGGAACAGAATAGAAGGTGCAGACGCAAGCCTAAACACAATCAGTCACCTTATCTTTGGCAAAGGAGCCAAACATGTTCAGTGGAAGATAGTCTTTTAATAAATGGTGCTGCAAAAACTGGCTTTTCACAGGCCAAACACTAAGACTAGACCCATTTCGGTTACCATGCACTAAAGTCAACATGGATCAAAGATCTAAACATTAAAATGGAAACACTAAATTTGTTGGAAGAGAAAATAGGTAGAAATCTTGAAGATATAGAGGTAAGAGAGACTTCATGAACTAAACCAATACTGCAAGGGAAACAGTACAATAAATCAACAAATGGGATCTCACTTAATTAAAAAGCTTTTGCCCAACCAAAGAAATCACCAACAGAGTGAAAAGACAACTCACTGAGTGGGAAAAAATTATTGCCAGTTGTCCCTCAGACAAAGGACTCTTGTCTAGAATATATAAAAAATTGAAAAAAATCAGACACCCCAAATTGAAAGATCCAATCCAAAAATAGGTATTTGAGATGAACACACACTTCTCAGATGAACAATTACATGAAAAAAATTCAACATCTTTGGTCTTTTGAGAGATGCAAATTAAAACAACACTGAGATTTCATCTTACCCCAGAAACAATGGCTATCATCAAAAAAAT